TAAAATAAGTAACAAGCTTTCCAATTTTCCAGAACTGAACTATTGCCGGAGTGGGCAACTTCTAGAGGTCCAGGGGTCATACTTTGCTCATCCCTGAACCAGACAGCAAAACGCTGAGGAAGGAAGGAGGGGAAGCAAATTGAATTTTACAAATGGCTATGTGTTTTAAACAATGGGATTGAAAGCAAGCGCTCAATGAGTCAAATGGCCTTACAGGTATCATAAGAGCTCTGGCAAAATCCACTGGATGGAAAAAAAGGACAATCCCTTTTCCTTTAAATGCAAAGACCACAACCTGAATATCTGTGACTCTACAGACTGCACTGTTCACACTGGTACCTGTTTATGTCAGGTTTGATCCAGGACTGCTAGTTTTAACCATAGTTTGCTGTTGTATCTGAATCCAGAATTGTAGCTTGTTTCTATTTGGGATATCATCTGGATCCTGGCAGAAGAAGTGAAAGGAAAACACACCAAAAACTGGACAAACAAATCATGACTATTTTACACATCTGCAAAGTTCAGTTACGTTTCTTCAGTGAACCATAGTTAAAGCAAATCACAAATTTCAGTTTACTGGTATATATTGACACAGACAATAAGAGCAACAAGGGGCTGGGCAGGAGAACTTTCCACATCTCTGGCACCCCCAGTGCTGTGGCCTGAGAACATAAACACTTTGTGCCATCTGTTCAGTAAGGAAAATAATACAGGAGACATCCATTAGAAGTGCTTGGGGGCTCCTGTTCAATTACCTGGCTGTGATGTCCCTTAGGGGTCTGTGTTGTTCCCCTATGGTATTTAATATCAACTTGAAAATCCTGGGAGAGGTTGCCAGAGTTTTGGGGTTCACTGTCACCAGTATGAGGCTGACACACAACTCTGTCTCTCCTTTCCATCAAAATCCAAGGAAGCTATTTCAATTCTAGGTCACTGTATGAAGAACTAGATGAGGAACAGTAATGGACTGCCTGATCAGTCAAAACGCAGATCAAGGCATAGAGATTCAGTCTGAACAGGATGAGGTTACACTCCTTCTGAAAACACAGATGCACAGCTTGGGGTTTTTCCTGGATTCGTCTCTTGTGTTTAGATGCCCAGGTTTCAGCTGTGGCCAAGCGTGCCTTTGCACAGTTAAAACTAGTGCAGGAGCTACGACTGTTCCTGGAGAGTTCTGATCAGGCCACAGTGACACATGTGTTCGTTACATCCCAGTTGGATTGCTGTAACGTGCTCTATGTGAGGCTGCCTTTGGAAAGTGCTTGACAACTTTCAGTGGGGCAAAACACGGCAGCCGTATTGTTAACAGGGGATGGCTACAGGGATCATGTAACTCCTCTGTTATACCAGCTCCACTGCATGTCAATCCATTTCCGGATGCAATTCAAAGTGTTGCTTTTAATCTATAAAGCTCTAAATGGCTTGGGTCCAAGCTATCTCAAGGACCACATCTTGCATTATGAACCTGCCCAGGTATTAAGATCTAGAAGGCCTTCCTCTCGATTCCACCACCCTCCCAGCTGTGCTTGCTGGGGACATGGGAGAGGGCCTTCCCTATTGCTGCTCCTAGACTTTGGCGCTCCCTTCCATAGGAGGCCAGGCCGGGCCCATCTTTGCTGTCCTTCTGCAAACAGATGAATACCTTTCTCTTCAGGAAGGCCTTTCCTTACTGACTGACTTTCTAGAAGACAACAATTGGCTTATATTCTGTTCCTTTTGAATCTGTTTTAGTAATGATTTTACGTAACATTTTTACTGTGCTATTAATCCTTCTTTAATTGATGTTCTCAGTTTTTAATATTGTGCATTTGATGATGGAAGCTGACTGGGTCCTTTTTTTAAGAAGGCAGGACAAAAATATTTAAAATCAATCAAGATGTTAAAGGGGAGACTTCAGTTATCGCCTAATTTTATTTTGCAAATTCCTGAACAAATCATACATGGGACGTGGTGATTCAGAGGTAACTGTGTCTAATAATAGCAGTTTAAAAATCCAGGGCAGCCAAAGTCCAAGGTCTAAGCTTAGGCGGCTCTGTATACAACCAACAATGGGAGTGATGAGGAAAGACTTCCAGGCACACACTCATAGACCTGAAAGGCTCTTGGCTTGGGGTTTGGAGCTGGCTTTTAGGAAGGCCACAACCAATGAGCCACCGTGTCAGGAAAATACATTCCTGCTAGATACAGAAATATAAATATAGTCATGATCTCATCCCAAGGCTGAGGTACCGCCAAGCTGCTGCTGGAGGGGAAGCAGCTGTTGAGACAGGAATAATCCTTCATACAACTGTCTGAGTAGGATGAGGAGGGCAGCCATTCATTCAGAGATACGTACCTGGCTCACCTGGAGAAGGAGAGGCCTTCCCGACTGCGGGAGGTTGTTCAGACAAGAATCTTCTTGCACCTGGTGCTGGGTTACAACAATTACTGTGTTGGGACAGAACTAAGAAAAGTCCGTTTCTGGACTACCGTTCCCAGAACCTCCTACCAGCATGATTCTGGGAGTTCTAATTATCATGATAAATTGTTGTTGTTGAAGATAATTTATTAATGAGCTGCAATACTGTATCTCTTGTTGAGTGTCCTACAAGCATTTTTGTAAAAACAAATATGGTTGTTCTGGGTTTTTCGGGCTCTTTGGCCGTGTTCTGAAGGTTGTTCTTCCTGACGTTTCGCCTGAAGATGCTGGCCACAGAGACTGGCGAAACGTCAGGAAGAACCTTCAGAACACGGCCAAAGAGCCCGAAAAACCCAGAACAACATCTCGGTCGTGAAAGCCTTCGCGAATATATAAAAACAAATATCTTAGCAGTTTATCATATTGTTGCTTTTTATTTTACACATTATTATTATTTCAAAAAAACCAGGAACTGTCAATAAAAATTATAAAAACATTGACGGTGTTATATAACAGATACAAGTTTTGACCAAAAACCTAAGCATCTGTTAAACGACTACGACTACTACTGTTTTCTCAAGCCCTGACAATGCTCCATAGTGATGCTCTGGTCTGAACTGGGATAGTCATTGTGACTGGGCAATTCTATCAGTTATAGTCCAAAAAAAGTAAATTTTCTTCACCTCCAATTCAGGCATAAAAGAGACCACTACTGTGCTCAGAGAACCTCAAAAGAGAAGAAGAAGAAGAAGAAAAGGGGGGGGGATTTCATCAAATAGCTGGGAATGTTATGTTCTATGAATCCGATACTCCCTGTTGGTACAGAGATCCAGATGTGCCTGAATGGAAGGCAGCTCTACACACACATCCATGCATACAATAACATCCCTCCCCAACCCCGCTAACTTGTCTGTGTGTCCAGCACATCCCTCGAACAACAGCTGTGTTCAGTCAGCTCTCTGAAGCGGAAACTCCTCATCAAATGAGCGAGAATTTCCATCGGGTGAACTACTCTCCACCCCTTTCCCTGTAGCCAAAGTCAGCCCTATCCACCAGCCCTGGGAGGGGTGAGGGAAGAAGGAATGAAAGATTTTTCTCCAAGCAAGACTGTTCTTTTTCCCTCTCTCCTGCTCCACCCAGTCTCCACTGAGCTGTGGAGTAGCCACTGTCTCTTCGTCTAACCTACAGAAGGGCATTATGAGGGGATGGGAGGGGGAAGAGATGTAAATTATATTGATCTTGTGGGGGGAAAGGTGGAATATCAATATGACTAACGAACAAATTCTATACAAACAGGAACCTGAGGAGGAAAGCAACCACATGCTAGGGTTCCCTCATTCCTTAGCAACATAGAAAGCTGCCATACAGTGAGGCAGACCATTGGTCCAGTTAGCCTAGTATTGGCACTATCCTACTGGCAGCAGCTCTATATTTTCAGGCAAGATTCTTACCTGGAGATTCAGGTAATTATGTGGTGGTCTCCTTTATCCAAGCAATAAGCAGGCCCAACTCTGTTTAGTTTCCAAAAATGAGTCAAGATGTGGGTGTCTTTCAGGTGGTGTTGTGTTATGGTAGATTCAAACAGTAAACCTTTTCTGGACTGTAACTCTTTTAGATTCTCTTTCACCTCTGGAAGTTTGTATGATCCACCTCCTAGGATTTGAGTGAGGGGCAATAGTTTCCTTGTCTACTGAAGAATAGACATTTAGGGATGTGCTGCTGGTTAATGAGTTGTCACATGTTTTCCTGATGATGTTCCAGCTGCATGGCATGGTGTGTGATATGGAGGCACCAGCTCCTTAATCCAATCCAATTTATTAGTGTGATTTGGGCCACCGCATTTATGCTGGCATAAACAGCCAACAGGACCCTAGCCTGCATGTGTTAATCAGTTATTACATTCATGCACTGACTCACCCAAACAATAATTTGCCAGCTGAGACTACATTCATTATATCTGATGAAATGGGTTTAGAAACTTTTATACCAAATAAAATTCATTAGTCTTTAATGTTTACACTCTCTTGTTGAGCGACAAGCATTTTCGTAAAAACAAAAGACAAGAAATCTTAGCAATTTATCGTGTTATTGTTTTTTATTTTGTACACATATATTTATATGCATATAAAAACAAAAAAAGCACAAACAACAGCACCACCGTTGCAGGGAAAGGACTCAAGGATAACTGTTGGTGGGGAGAGAAGCATATAGTTCTATCTAAGCTGCATGACACTCGGGAATATAAAAAAAGGCAAATGATGAAAACAAAACGATAAGTTCATTTCTTAAAATATATAAAACTAAAGCCTAGCACTGCATTGATAAGAAAAGAATGGCACTGTCTTTAAGGCACAGTGTGAGGAAACATCACTGCATAATAATCAGACTCTCCCAAACCTGATGCCCCCCAGATAGGTCACACTTTAGCTATGCGTGCTGTGTGCCTATAGGATCTGTACACTGACACATTTGGAAGACACTGGGTTTGAAAGGACTGCTCTTAATTATGTCCCCAAGGAGTATTTTTTAAATACTGTATAAGCAACCAGAGCCAAAAAAGAGGCCAAAAATATAAAATTAACACTTAGTTGAACACACAATATTTTTTTTTTTGCATGCAAGATAAACCAAAACTGAATGTGTCTAAGACACTAATGGCAGGAGGCTTTTTTTAAAACATCCAAAATTAAAAACAAGGTTCTTTGCACATGAATAATACTGCTTTTTGGTAATATGCACTACTTTTAAGAAGAGGTCAGGCAGGTATTTCTAATCCTTATGTCAATCACTGAAGGTCATTATTCCAATGCAGATGCTGTTTCTTCAGTATAGCAATGGTTATATCATTGTCTTTAAGCTCTCTAAGTACAAAAATGTTGTTTTTAACCCCCAATAAAATACTATTGGCTTTCTAAATTCTGTTGGAGGCTACTTCTTAATGTGGACAAGTAAACTGTCCTCCATGATTGAAATTACTGTAAGGGACTAACTATTTTCATGGAAATCATTTGGGGATTCATATGGCTTCCTTTCAGAGACTATTGTCAGCCCAACATGAACATTTTGGCTTTAATCTCTCACTAAGCAGGCATGACTTTTTGCCTTCTGTACATGAATTGTGTCTTCTTGAACTAAAGAATAAATTTTCTCTGGAGGTGGCAATACGAGCTACTCATATTGTGCTACTCCTGTGAAGACCCCATCCATTCAAGGTGGGATCCATTTAAGCAAATGCACTGTATTTTTCCAAAAGATATCTAAATTGATTAATGATTAAGAAATAATTCAGCAAAGCCTTAAAAAGCTTTTTTAAAAAACAAAGAACGCTATTATTTTGCCACGTAAGAAAACTCATTGCCTTTAAGACTCTAACATGGAAGTTGTTTTGTTTTGTAATTATCAGGCATTCAATTAAAGAGGAGTTCTCTAAACTCTTCTCTTCTGCTACCCAAATACACCAAGCAGAAGGTACATACAATGTCCTCCCAGTCCAAGCCTGAGTACCCAGTTTGGTAGAAAAGAAGATAACTCACCGGTGGCTATCTGAATAAAACAGGGGACCTCTTGCCACTGCCATCCCCACTACTTTCCCAGTCCTTGGCTCCCTGTGACTAACAGAAATGCAAGAACCTTAGTGGCAGAGAAAGAGAGCAGTCATGAGAGTCAAAAGATAACAGAAAATGTGGATAGTGATGGAGCAAATATATGATGGAAAAGAAAAAGGAAGACTGCAAACTTGGTAAGAGTTGCATAAGGAGAATTCAGGAAGATGTATGTTCAAATTGAAATGTATTTGTCTAAGAAGTGTAAAGAACGAAGTACCAGGGCATTCTCTTTCATTTAAGAGCAGTCTCCTCTGGTGTATAAACCAGAGGATGATCAATTTAAACAGCACCAACCTTGTCCCCAGTCCCAAATCCTGAAGTTCTTAGTTCACTAGAAAGAACAAAGGTCAAGAATATCTGAAAAGAACATACCCGAGCAATGTATGTAGGGAAAGAGCAGAAGTGAAAAGCTTTGGCATGTAAAAGAAGAGAAGCCTCTGAGCTGGGGATAAGGTGAAAGCGTGAGAGGGAACATAAAAGAAACGTATGGATTAGTGGGAAGGCTGGAGAAAAAAAAGAGTACTTTAACAAAGTAATATTTTTGAAAAGAGATTTCACAGAGCAAGTGCAGAAATGATAGCAGGAGTGACAGGAAAAGGATGGAAGGAGAAAATGTGAGAAAGGAGGAATAACGGAGAGTGGGAAAAGAAGAGGGAAAGACAGCAAAAAGGATAGTTTTTCCTTCCCTTTCTATTGTCATTCAACTCTTTTTCTTGACTTCTTTCCTCTCTCGGCCTGCTCTTCCCTGACCCTTGACACCGCTATCTACTCTTGGATGAATATCAGCCGTGCAGAATACACCAAGTCAGCAAGGTACACCAGTAGATTGATAGCTGTCAGGACAGCAACAACAACCATCTGATCCCAAAAGCAAGTGTAACTTCCTCTACAGTATGGCGGCCGAGAAGGAGTTCCCCCGTGCTTCTTGTCAAAATGGTAGATAGGCCAGATGATGGTGGCCGTTGCATACATAAGCACAGCCAGAAGAGTGTAGCCACTGAGGAACTTGTTGAACGGACAGGGCAGCCAGCCGGTGCATTCGCCAATGCACAAGATGATGACCACCAGTGAGAGGATGAAGCAGATGCAGTACACAGCCACACACCACTTCAGGGCCTCGTGTCTCTCATATGAATTTGAATCACTGATGAAAACAAAGATGATGCAAGCAATGAAAGTCTCCACCACCTTGAGCAGTCCAGGAACGGTGGCCATGTAGCCAGTGACTTCCCCTGGTTTGGCTTTGGTTATGGTGACCTCCGTAGAGTAAGCTAAGAAGGAGAGGCAAGAGAACACTGTGGCAGCAATACGGTATCCACGCTCTTCGCGGCCAAGGTCCTTGTTCTGAATGAAGGTAACTGGGTAGATGATGGAAGCAGAAAGGCACATCAAGGTGGCGTACATGGCAAAGGTGATGGGGAAGTTCTTCCAGGAGACGGGGATGCGGTGCTGAAGGCCAGCAAATTCCACCAGCAAAATGAGAATTGTGACTGCAAAGCAAACACACCAAGAAAACATGCACCAATCGCCATTACGGCCCTGCCAGGCATTCCGGTGAACCACCAGGCTGAAGGTGACACATGTGAAAAGGGCTTCCAGCAAGCGGACAATGCCCAGCTGAGAAGTCAGGGCACTGGTGTTGCCCACGGATTTTGAGCGCGTTACTGGCATTGCAGACCTGGGGAGAAAAATTGAGATAAATAATGCAACCAAGTTAAGATGGGTTGGCTGACAAGGCGCTGAACTTGGGTCTTTGAGCATTTGGGTGTAAAACTCACTTCATTCACTGGTTCACTCAAATACTATCTCTTCTTGAAAGTCAGTACAGAGCGGGGATGAGAAACACAGACCTCTAGATGTTCTTGGGCTGCAACTCCCATTAGATATAATCAGTGGAGCAGATTAACGGGAGTTGGAGTCCAACATCAGGAGAAGTGGGAGGCCTTCAAAATGTTGCCGAGCCCCAGCACTCTTCAGCATAGATCTCTGGCCAAGGATAATGGGAATCTATGTGTAACAACTATGTCTAGAGTCCCCCATAACTTCCCCACCTTTTGGTTAGTGTCAAGATAAGACTGATGAAGCTCAGTTAAAATCTCCACCTCAGACATGAGATGAACGCTGGAGAGTCACCATCAGTCAACTTAATGCACCTTGTAGAGCTCTTACAAGAGTAAAAACAGAGGAAATGAATCACAACTAGTTATGACAGCTCACACTTTAGGAAATGTAGCCTTCAGGAAGAAGAGTTTCTCCATTCAGATGCAGACCAAGCTGAGCTCCTTGGAGTAAAAAATCAGATTTAAATATACTGTACTAGATTAATCTTTCAACCTACAGGTATTTCCAATCTGCAACATTCGGTGAATTTACAGGATTGTTGTCCCTTTCTCGTAGTCCTAAGAATTCACACAGTCACTGTGGACAACACTCAAATTCTCTTCACTTTTCCCATCTGCAAAACGGGAACACCAACAATTTGCTCTGATAGCAAATTAAGACACAAGTATCCAACCACTTTGTTTGCACCATTAATTAAACAGAATTTAAAATAATAATCATAACGTGCCGTCAAGTCAATTCTGCCCTATGTTGACCCTTTCCAGGGTTTCTAGGTAGAGAATACTCAGAAGTGGTTTCCCATTCCCTTTTTCTGGGCGCATTCTGGGACTGTGCAGCTGGCCCAAGGCCACACAGGCTGGGTCTCTACTTGCAGAAGGCACAGATGAGGAATCAAACTCTTCCATCTCTGGCTCTGCAGCCAGATACCTAAACCACTGAGCCATTCAGCAAAATTTTAAAAGGTGCCCATTTTAAAATGGTATTTTCCTTAAGCTATTCAAATACTTAGTATTGACTATAAGGCTTGAAGTAGTTTATTGACAAGACTGTTACCATGAGAACAAAACCAAAACTGAGCTGAACTTTGTATGCAAAAAAAATGCTTCTAAAGGTCTATAGTGCAAAGGAGTGACAGAAAACAGTTTATATATCATCATCAGAAAGTGCAACAGGAAGTGTAATGAAATCTACAGTGGTGCCTCGCTTAACGAGCGCATCGTTTAATGACGAATCCGCATAGCAATGTGTTTTTTGCGATCGCAGAAGCGACTGCATTGCGATGTTTTAAATGGGTAAAAATCGCTTTGCGATGATCGGTAAGCTGTTTCGCTTACCGATTATCGCATAGCGATCTTTTCCCAACAGCTGATGGGCGGTTCCAAAATGGCCACTGGGTAAAAAAAATTGCCGCCCACTGTGTTTTCGCACCCATTCCTCGCTTACTGGGCAGCGAAAATGGCGGCCGTATGGAGGATTTTCACATAACGGTGAGTTTTTTGCCCATAGGAATGCATTAAACGTGTTTTAATGCATTCCTATGGGCTTTTTTGTTCCGCATAGCGACGATTTTTGCAGAACAGATTATTGTCACTATGCGGGGCACCACTATATACCAGTTCACTGTATGGATCAGAATTGTCTCAGGCATGTTCACTTGAGCATGCCTGACACAAATGGATCCCTCTGAAAACAGTGCTATGAAAAAATTCCAGTTATATTAACATATTTGTATCCCAGCATACATACAGAATAAAATACTGTGTGGGGGTGGGCAGGCGTCCGTGTGGCGGTGTGTGTGTGTGTGTGTGTGTGTGTGTGTGGTGTGTGTGTGTGTGTGTGTGTACAGGGGGTAGGCAGGGATGTGTGTATGTGCATGCGTGGGGGTGTGTGCACGCGTGTACACAGACACGCGGATGCGCGCAAGCACATTCCTGTTCTTTCAGCCCTCAAAAACGTTGAAAATATTCTGTGTGGCCCTCACAGTCAAAAGTTTGAAGACCCCTGTATTAAACCCAAAAAGGTTGATTTGATCTAATGGCTATGTTTCTCTATCTTGGGTTAGCTTGTTTACATATGGAGTATGTAGGAGGGCAGAAGCAAACATGGCTGTCCATAAGGGATCTGTATCTGTAGTTCATCTTGCCTCTCGGGCTGCTCCAGTCCAAAGCAACTTCCAGACTCCTCAAGCGTTCTGGAAGATGCAGTCCAAACAATATATCAAGCAATGATTCAGAGCAGTTGAATGGTATTATCATTCAAATCAGAGAGCATCAGTCTCCCGCTATCTCCCCCGCCCAGACTATTTTTGGAAAATAGCAAGATTTTACAGGATGTGGGAGCTTGACTTCACCCATACATGGTCTACTCCTTTGAAAACAACAACAGCAAAGCATTATCTCTACAGATCACTTTAAACAAAGGAAGAGCAGATTACTTAAGATCTCCTGCAACCCAGTGTTATTCAGTGGATAGAGTGATGGGCCTAGGACTCTGAAGATCAGGGTTTGAATTCCCACTCAGCCATGGAAACTGACTGGGAGAGCAGTACTGGTAAAACCACCCTCTTAAATATCTCATTTACCTCGGAAGCCCTATTAGAGTAGCTGTAAGTCAGTTCTGACTTGATGGCACACAACAACAGGATTTTGTGTCGTGTGGAGATTCCCACCTGTTATGCATTCCTTCTCAATTGGGAGGCAAGGGCTTCAAAAAAGAGGAGGGGCCTCATATCATCCCTCTTCTCCATGGGATGAATCAATCATCCCCGCCCCTATTAAGGTACAGCTATTTCATCTTCTGTAGGAGCTCCAGAATTTGCTCTTTTTAAATAACCTAGCACAAGAAGTCAGGGGATGAGACTAAAAGAATGTTATTGTAACACAAAAAAAATGGGTGGTGGGTGGGAGAAACTTGCCCACTCACACAATTTTTCTTTTCTTTTTTTTCAAAATTGCCCTGATCTCCAGCAGGTATCTGCCCATGGAATGAGACCTACAGATACCTATATGGTACTTTAATTTGCTTGAATTAAATGGAGCTATTCCTAAAGTAAACCGAGTGGGGGGGGTGTTTTTTTTAAAAAATAAAATAAAATAGGAGCAAGAACTGGAAAGTTCCTGCAAGGTTCTGTTTCAGAATCTTTTTTTAACACAGTAGAGGGGAAGCTATGTTGCTAGACTACAACTTCCATCAACCCTAGACAATGGCAAGGAATGATGGGAAGATACGGAGAGCCACACAATCTTCATTACTATTTCAAGGGAATTTCTCCTCTTCCTTGGGGGGAAAAAATAATATAGTTGTCTAGCACCAACACCACTATTTTTAGATAAATGGGCAAAACCACTTTTTCTTTATATCAGTTTCCTCCATTATCTCTCTTTGTTAAAATTAATTATCTTTCTATGCTACATTATAATTAAAACTCTCTGGCAGCATATGGATTCGTGTTTTATTGAATTGTTGTTTCTTTTGCTTTGAACGGGGAGGAAAAATGAACCATGCAGCTATTTTCTCTTAGAGATGGAACTATGGTACAGAGTATGTATCTGGTGTAAAACTGGAGAGCTAAACCTTTTGAATTACAGATCCCTCAATCCCACCACCAGCAAAGGTCACAGTGGCTGGGGGATGCTGGGAGCTGTTTTAAAAAACAGTAACCCCCTCCCAGCTCTGCTAAGACATTAACTACAACTGGTATATTACCATACTCAACAGATCGGCTCATTCTGGTTCACTAGCTGAGCACATGGGGATTCCTGCAGGTGGAGGGTCCAGACAATATTTCCAATGTGTCAAAAATTAGGGTGTGCCTGGCCAATGGGAGGTTTCCTGCATGACAATATTTCCAATGTGTCAAAAATTAGGCTGTGCCTGGCCAATGGGAGATTTCCTGCATTTTTTTAAAGCTGTATTGCTGGGGGGGGTACTTCCTCATCTGGATTTCCTGCTGTGGCAGAGTTAGAGGCTGGGCCAGTGATGCAGGCTGACAAAGGCGGAAATATTCATATGGGAGGAGTACAGAGTCTTTGCACCATTAGCCATATAAGGAGAAGAGAAAATCCCTCTTTCTCCAAAGTTGGATATTCAGTTTCTCTCGCCCACATGTTCCACTTCTGGACTGAAGAGGGAGAAAAGGTATCTCCAGGGCTCTTATCCCACTGTGCTGTCTTCCTTCTATACCACCGCCTAGCGAGTCGTATAGCTTCTCTTTACAAATCCTGAAGCCTGTTTATCTACCGACAAGGATCTGGGAGCCTCTCCTAGCATCTTCAACCCTCCCCCACCTTTTTCCCCCCAATTTAGATTTCAAAGCTCTTTTTCTGAAGCTTTGAAGAAACAGAGAGAAAGAGAAGAGATGGAAGAAAAGAAGGAGGAAGGCTCTGTGGGAAGGGAGAGGATAATAAAAACAACATGTTTCAATGCCAGCCTAGCATGTCCTATAAATAAATACTTGTGAATTAACCATTCTCTTGGAAGTTTTGGTCCCTACACTGACAGTGTAATTATCTAAACTGTTTTTCTGCATCAAACTACAAGGATTAATTGCCACTGTAATACTGCCTTGGCTTATCCACATACATATAGCCCCGTTAGTTATTTGGGGCTTGAAAGGAAAAAGGACTCGAAGCAGGAAAAAAAATTCGCTTCTCCTTCTTTTAAATTATATTAGCAGAACATCCTTGCCTGGTTCCCAAAAATAATACTGCCTCTCATCTTTAGTACCTCGGATCCAGTCTGACTCTGGAAGCCAAGAACAAGGTGGTTTGGTTGCCATTTGGATGTCATGCCACCTGGAAAGACCAGGGATCTCTCGATACAGCTAGGCAAGGACCCTGTCTGAAACGCTGGCAAGCTGCTGCCAGTCAGAGTTAGTAACATTGGGTTAGATGGAAGAATAGTTTCCTGCATCCCTAATTCACGGGCCCACATATAAAGGGGTTTTGGAGACAATATTATTTCCACAATTTACAGGAGGAGCTGCAATATTCCATTACTATCCCAATGTCCTTATATTCGGAAAACTGAGATGTTATGAGCTGCCAAATTGCATCTGACACATACCTTGAGAAACCTGGTATTTAAGGAGATGTTTTACAGACCCTGACACACCCAGTGTATTTCCATGGCCAAGCAGAGATTTGAAACCAGATCTCCACAATCCTATTCCTCCACTCTATTCACTATAGTTTTACAGACCCTGACACACCCAGTGTATGGCCAAGCAGGGATTTGAAACCAGATCTCCCACTGGTTCTCAGAAAGAAAGAAAAATCAATTCATTTCCTTGTTATGCTGCTTTTCTTACTGATCTGATCCTTTTTCATAAGGTAAGAACCAAACATTTAACCTTCCCTCTCCTGAAGCCTGTAGCAGAACCGTCTAGAAAAAACAGCTTACAATGTGATACTCTTGCAAGTATGGACTGGATGACTGGCTATTTACTGCCTTAAATTGATTGGCATACTCGCAAGACCGCTGTACAATAATTTACATTAGGTTTTACATGATTATCCCCCACTACTCCAGTCTTGGATGATTAGAAAAGTGGGGAAAAAACATGAAAATGAAAAATAAGTAATCAGAGCCCTTCATATAACATTATCACAATGAGGTAAATCAGAATTATCCTGTCCGTGTGGCACATAAAATGCTGAGGTTGAGAAAACAGCACTGTATTTACGGTTGGCTGCTTTGAAAAATCATGATGGACGCAAATACAAAGGGAAATTTAATATTACCCATCATCTGTGGCGCTGGCAGAAGGGAGGACAGTTAATAGTATGATGTAGAGTAAATCTTTAGAGGATGCGTAGGCTGAAAGTTTCCCCTTAACTACATAGGATGTTACTGGGAGGGGGGGAAACGTTAGAGAAATGATATAGCTTAGCAACACACTCTGCCTCTCTCTTGAGGGGAAACAACCAGACCACAAAGAGACTTGCACAGCTCAGGATGCAAATAAAACATGCCAGAAGGATGATTTTGTTTCAAGTACAGAGGGCTGCTTGTTAGAAGAGTACCTCTGCTTCAGGCACAGGTGGCAAAATTTACTGATATAGCCAGAGGGTTTGGGGAATTGTAGTCCATAAACATACTTCTTAAGAATTTTATCATGTTCTTCAGTAAAACTGTCCCTGTTTATGGCTTTTTAAAGTGAATATATATCAAAACAGAAAGCCTTTGTTGGGTAAGAGTATCATAGAAGGATAAAGCTTGAAATTGTGGATTTAGAGCTTCCAGAGTAGGGCAACTTAAAAGAGTTGGGCATGGTTGTTGTTATTATTATTATTTATTTGATTTATACCCCGCCTATCTGGGCGACTTGTCCACTCTAGGCGGGGCATAAAGGTATGGCATGATCCTGAAGTCATTTCATCTTCTCTGATTAACAAAGCAAAATATGTTTCTTTGTTTTCTAAGTAATTTCTTAACTGTAAGTAATGTTGCAATTTGAAAAGTATTGCCCTGGATTTAAAAATATCCTTTGGTTCAACTGGGTGGCAGGGAAGGGAAGAAGGGAGGGGCATTAAAAATTAGTGTTTCAGGGCATTTGTTGCAAAATCTAGCAGTACTGTATTTCTTAATTCCTGAATGGCGTTACTTGAATTGTGTTAGTGCTCACTCAAGTGTCAATTGGGCTTACAATTAATTGTTCTGTTGGTTCACCCCTGCTGGCAAAAATCATTGTCCCAGGTAAGAAGGGAACATTTTATAATTTGAGAGAGAATGCAGCTTGCCTTTTCTTGCTTTGAAGCTGGCAATGTGCGACACCTAACAGGATGTGCTGGCTAGCATAAAATCACCATGGACTAGAATGCTGTAGCAGCTTTAGATAAGGCTGCCAAAGACTCTGGGTGGGTGCCAATGGCCTAAAGAAAGGGTGGGGAACTCGTGCCTCCCCAGAGGGGAGTATAAGCAGTGGTATGGGGAAATTCACATTGCAATCCAGCAATATCTGGAAAGCCACAAGTTGCCCACAACCTTAGTTTAGAATACTGTATATGTGTAGATCTCTACAGCTTTTAAGAGACTTAAGAAACATATGCTCTTACATATGCTACTTCCTCTTCTTAAGCATGATATCCATGATGTTCATGCACATATATACCTACATCTATGATGTTCATGCACATATATACCTCCATATGCAGACACAAGTACCTCATAATCCTCCGTTATTCGCCGTTAATACCCAACTTCCTTCCGTACAAAACCCATATCACCCACTCAAGGCAAACCTCTCAGGTCTTCTCAACACATGCATTACTGCTACTAATGCAAAGCACTATATTTTACTTTTTTGAAATACTAATTTTTGGACTACAACTCCCACAACCCCCTAGTCAGAAAGACCACTGGGCTTAGTCCAAAAAGTACTTTTTTTCCTGCAGCTCTGCTCTGCAGAACATTGCAGTAGAGTCCCAGAAAGCTCTAACCTTCCACCTGAATGCCCTCCAGTTGTCTTGGATTTCAACTCCCCAGGATGCCAAAACATTGGCAACGCTGGATGGGGCTGATGGGAATCAAATCCCAAAACACCAGGAAGGAGTGCACCACGCTGGAGAGGACTGCTCTCAGTCTTCCACGTCCCGGTGCTTCTTATCACAACAGCAAAAGCCAACGGTGTGCAGACCATGTTTGCAGAAAAAAAGAAAGAAAGAAAAAAGAAGTCGTCGAAGGGGGTGTGGCGCCGTAAAACAGCGAAGACAAGTTAGTAGTCTCAGCGCTGCGAACTAATCTAAAACGGGACACGCTCTTCATCTAAAAGTTAAAACCCCCAAGCATTTCGAGAAGCTAAAGTAGACTCCATTTTACCGAAAGGCACCCCAAACTCGTCATTCTGGCTCCTAACCTTCTAGCCCCTCTCCTCCCTTGACGATCCTGGCTTTGATCCCAGCCTTCCTCGCTCCAATTCTCTAGAGCCCCTGCACTTGCACCCGGTGCAGTTCGGGGGGGGGGTGTCTCCGGGCTACCTAAAGCGACCCTTTGGCTTCCACCTGCTGCTGTTTGCATTTTAACTCCTTCGTCACACGCCGCCCGCCCGCCACCTCCCTTTGAATTCCTTCTCGCCATGCTTTTCTCTCGTCCAACACAAAAGTGTCTCTCCCTCACTCACCTCGCCTAGTTGCTCCACTGCCGGAGCTCTGCCCTTCCAAAAGCGGGTGACTTTGCGGGGAGCGGCGGGCAGCAAACGGGGACAGCCCGAGAGATGCTTGCTCGGGGTTGGGACGGGAGGGGAGCCGGGTGTGGTCCCTGAG